GATGGAGCAATGACGTGAACTCGCCCCCTCCGTCGAGAGCCGACCCGTCTGCTCGCACCGTCTGCGACCACAACTGAGTCGAGCCGCTAGCGAGAGGCAACGTCGAAAGTTCTTCCTTCTCTGGCTCCTCGTCCGACGGGGGCAATGGCGTGTCCCACGACTCCAGATGGGTGTACATGGACGGGTCGTACCGCCTTCGAGGCTCCGCCGCAGAAGATCGAACTCCTCCCTGACCTGCGGCAGAAGCCGGTCGTGCCTGCATGCCCGCCATTAGACGTTCGCCTGCCGCCCGTCTCGTCGAAGCCCTCCTCTTGCGTTGTTGTTTCCACGACCGCCACGAAAAACACACGTAGAGGAAGACGACAATCAGGAAGACAACGACAGCGAGTACCAGCAGAGGCAATCTCCTCCGCACGTCAGCCATGAAATTCACCTCTGCAGCCGCCCTCGCACGTGACCACTGCAGATGTGTGTTCCGACATGCCCGCGACAGGGGCRCTCGACCTTCATATGCGGACAACCACCACAGAAGACGACGAACACGCCCGCCTTCCTTTTGAAATTCGACCGTTGCGGTGCGCGCTGCCCGAAGCGGCTCCGTCTGTCGTCCTGCGCACGTCAACGTCCCACTCCGCATCTCGCAAGCGACCCAACGGTCCAGTACGGGCAACCACCCGCCGACGCTCGGCCCTCCGCGCTCCCTCCCCTCTGCCAACGGCTACCGTGTGTGGCCGTTGCCCGCGTCGAGCCGCAGAAAACCTCCGATGTCCAACCACCGACTCGACGGACCGCTTCTGGACCACCAACGAGTGTCGACGGTGCTATGTTCGCGACGCAACGACTCCGTGAAACGTGGGAATCCTAAATTTTTCAGTAGGTCGGGGGCTACTGGAAAATTTAGGACGATTTTGCCTGGGGAATCCTAAATCTTTTAGGACTCGTCCTAACGCCGTTTTCACATTTCCAATCTCCCATTTCGTTTTAGGACTGTGTGCAACTAGGACGCAATCCTAAAAACAGGCATTTTTAGGAGTGTCTAACTAGAGAGAGAGAGAGTTTAGAGAGAGAGTTTTCAGAGTGGCCAGCAGGAGGATTTCAGAGATGGTGACGTGGCATAGGAGGAGCTGGAGTTGGGGAACCTCACCAGGGAGGACGATGAATGAAGCTGCGGAACATGGAGGCAAGCCCAGCCGACTGGCCTGGGTATTGCGCAAAGTTGCCCGCCCTGTATGAAGGGCAAACCGGGTAAATAGGCTGCAGGCCCAGGCCCAACGACGCTGTCCAGATTGCAAATATGCACATGGGCCTGACAGGGGCGAAACGCAAGGAACTAGGCCCAAAAAGGTATTCCGCTCTACCCCCATCTTTTAGGGGCATCTTGGCATATATCTCAACTTATAAGGGTATTTCGAAAATTATCCCAAAAGAAAAACTGAAAAAAACTATAGGTTGATTGATTGGTTGCTCCCCGAATTGTGAAGCAATAAGGGGAAGAAATTGATTGATTCATTTCGTTTGCTGGGTGGATTGAGTGAAACTTGTCGGTTCTTTTTGCCTGGTCGCGACTACTGAAGGGATGAAACAACGCGCCGCCGGATAAGATATAATCCAACGCCGGGCTGGGTTTTCATTCGGCCCTTAAAAAGGGTGACAACCGTTGCTTGATATATAGGTAACGGTCATAACTTTTGTTCCAGAAGAAAACGTCGAGAATGGACGTGTCAAGCATCGTTGTGCCTGTCATCGGAATATCAGTGGCTGCCTTCGCTACTTTTTATGTCGTCAGCTTTAGCGAAATCAAAAACGTAATTTTCTGCTTGAAGCCAACCTCCCCCAGCACCTCCTTCCTTCTTTCCTGCGGCCCCGTCGTGTCCTTTCTCCTTCCCTCCTCCCTCCTTCCTCCTCCTCCTTTCCTTCTCCGTCCAATTCCCTTCTCCTCCCTTTGCACTATCATCACATTCTCTCTCTCTCTCTCTCTCTCTCTCTCTCTCTCTCTCTCTCTCTCTCTCTCTCTCGCGCGCGCGCGCGCGCGCGCGCGAGAGAGAGAGAGAGAGAGAGAGAGAGAGAGAG